TTTAGAAAGTTGAGCAATTTACACAGTCGATCAGTGATCCGCCAAAATATATACTTGAAGTGAGTATTGAATTCAGTTTAACAAAATCCAAAATCTTTTAGCTGAAAATATAATATGATAAAGGTATATTAGTTTTAGAAATGTATGAAGGTTTGAAGTATTGACAGGTTGGAGTGTTGGACAATTCGTGCATGACAATACAATTCACAGTCACACATGACAACGACGTGTCATTCAAAGTATTCGACATAATGATGGACAATGGGCCACAAGATGGGCTGCAACAGCGTCGACAATGGGTACTCGTCCGTCCGTCCATCCTCCACCGCCTGATATGACTCGTGAATTCATGGCATCTCTTTTGGTTATTGTGTGGACAGGAAAATTCTCTTTGACAACGTCCGCATTCCCCGCACCAACATGCTCGACGCGCTCTCCCAAGTCAGCGGCGACGGAACATTCACGAGCCACGTGTTCAGCAAACGCGGCCGTTTCTTGGCCGTCGCAGGTTGACCTTCGAAACACAAATATATCGTCATATGCTCATGATGCTTGTGTTGGTTGTGCAGATCAATTGCTCAGTGGCCGCGTGTGCATTGCCTCCATGTTGATGGGCGGCACCAAGTTGACGCTGGCGATTGCAATGCGGTACTACTCCTTCGTCGCCTATTCATTCTCCTAATGCCAAGGGTGTGATGCCTAGATATGCGGCGAGTCGCGCGACGGTCGGTCCCAAAGGCATGTCGGACACGGCCATCCTGCACTATGGCCTGCAAAAGCAGGCACTGCTGCCACTCGTGTGTCCGCACGTACGTCCTCGCGCACGGCCTGAACGTGGTCAAAGACAAGTACAAGGCATGGAACAAGTCGACGGATCCGCTGGACCGCCTCGAGCTCGTCGTGCACTGTTCGGCAATCAAGCCGGTGGTGTCATGGAACGCGGAAAACGTCGTGAGTGTCTGCCGCGAGCGATGCGGAGGCCAGGGGTACCTGTCGGCGAATCGGTTTGGAGAAATTTTGGGGTTTTCCCACGCGGCGGTGACGGCGGAACGAGATAAATCGAAAACCTCTTAAAGTGGATAAGTTTTGCCTCCATAATTTCTCACGAGGTCAATATTGTAAGAGGTATTGTTTTGTCCAATACAATTCGAGAAACCATGTTATTGGATAAAAGTTTTGGCGGATCACTGGTCAGTTGGCGGATCACTGATCGGTCACGTTAGTGCCACACCCGCAAGTTCATTGAAGCTACTATTTCGATGACAATACTCGGCTTCTTTTCTTTGCCCTTATACGCTCCTACAAGAATGCAAATAGGAGTAATGGATAAATAAAAAAATTCCATGCCTTGTGTCAAGAAGGGGCACTTTGGCCTGTCTGCTTTGGCCTCTTTGGCACATCCGGATTGTAACCGGATTTTGTGCCCTCTGGGCAGATTTTGGCTCTGACGGCACAAAACACCGGATAAGGATATTATCCGGTGTTCCCTTTGGTTGGCTGTAAGCAGTCGGATAATCCTCACTTTCAGTTTTGCCCCCGACCACACAAGTGTTCTTTGTGTTCCTCGTGCTCTCGCCCCTTTCCTCAGTGCTACCTCTTTCCTCGTTCTCTTAACAGGTTATGAGCCTCCTTCCTACC